GGATAGAAGATACAGTACTCTTCTTAACTTCACTGACCAGCTGGTGGTTTTACTTTTATTATTTTCTTTTTCAAGGGAGACTGGCCAGTTACTAATTAAATAATATTGAGGTTTTCAAGCAAAAGAAAATTTAGTTATGATGATTTTTTTTTTTTTTTTTGGATAGAAGATACAGTACTCTTCTTAACTTCACTGACCAGCTGGTAGTTTTACTTTTATTAGTTTCTTTTTCAAGGGAGACTGGCCAGTTACTAATTAAATAATATTGAGGTTTTCAAGCAAAAGAAAATTTAGTTATGATGATTACTTGCATTATAATATTAAGTTTATGTTGGAACACATATTTAATACGATCATTTACCACATGTTCGTTTAAGTCACAAAGTAGAATTAATATATACCACATACGTAAATTAAAGAACAAAAGGGAATTATATATACACAACATATACATATACTGAATATATATATATAGTTATAAGGAAGGTATTTTGTATCAAATTAAACTTGCAGCAGACAAGAAATACATATGCATGTGCTAATCCTACTGTTGGGTGTAGACATGTGGTTGTTAAAAGACTGTGATGATCAGATCACTACTGAAAATCTGAATCCACTGGGTTTCTTTGATGCCAAAAGCATTTGAACTAATAACTTTGTTGTTTTCTACGCAAAAAATACTGTACTACATATTGTTTTTCAATATTAATACTGTATGATATCAGATAGAAAGCTAAAGTAGTACTACTGGCTCATGGGCTCTTCTTCATCATGAAGATGATCAGCTGAAACCCTGGTTTCACCTGATATGATTAACTCCATGACTTGGAATAAGTGTAGCACATTATTCAAAGCATTTATAATATATATACATATATATATATATATATATATACACACACACATACACACACACACAGAGAAGAAGCATAAGGAACATTCATTAATCGCTAAAATTATTAAACAAGTTGAAATATCAGAATCTCTATGATTCCTGTTCTGAATACATAAAGTGTAGTACTATAAGCTGGACTTAATAATACATATGAAAGAAGAACAAGAAGTCAAAAGAACTATAAAAATAAAATTAGAGAGAGAGAGAGAGAGAGAAACCCTCATCCCAGACACTTCTGTAGAAGCAAACTAATTATTTTAGAACTTTCTAATCAATTAGATCTTGTAGTTTCTAATTTCAGTTGGACTGTTAATAATGAAAATAAAGTAGTAACTAATTAGCTAGATTAATTTATAATAATTGCAGAGACAAGAAAAAAAGATTAATTAGAAAGAAATGAAGATCGGAAAAAAGGAAAGCATTGAGATTTAACAAGAAATAAATAATTAATTGTACCTGGAGGTTGTTGTATCTGTTAAAGGATTTGGAGCAAATAGGGCATGAGAACTGAGTTGGACCAACAAGAATCTGAGATGGGGTAGGAATCCAGTACTGCTGAGTAGCATTAGAAGAAGTTATACCCTTGCTAATCTGCTTAGGATCAACAGTACTCACAGCTGATCCTAGTTCTTTCTCCATGGATCCCACTACTTCAGAATTAGGGCTTGGAAATGGCAAGCCTATGTGAAGAGCCACAGTCACACTCTTATCGTCATCATCACCACCACCATCATTACAATCACGATGATGATGATGATGATCTCCTAATATTTCATCTGTTTCAGTACCGGTACTTGAGAGCTGAGTGTAAGATAATTCTTGATCTTGTACTCTCAAGCTGTCTAACAAAGGAAGGGCTTCCTTGAGAGGAGGTGAGGAAGGTCTAGTTGAGTAGTGGTTGTAGTTTTGGTGGTGATTTTGCAGAAAATTAGGAGAAGGAGATACTAATAATTTGTTGCTAACAATATTCATGAGATTATTATTATTATTATTACTACTATAATTATAATTATTATTCAAAGAAGAAGAAGAAGAAGTAGAAGTGAGATGAGGAGAGTAGTAGTGAGGATGAAGAGGCATATTGAAGTTAATCCAACCACTGAAGAGATTATTGGATTGAGGGTTTGTCATGGCCACTCATAGATTTTTTTTTTTTTTTTTTTTTTTTTTTTTTTTTTTTTTTTGGGGAAAAACAAAGAATTATAAAGCACAACTCAGGTATCAGCTAAATACAAGCTAGAATGATATACATATAGATATATATATATATATAGATATACTTGCAGATCCATAGATATAAACACTTAAGAGAGAGAGAGAGAGAGAGAGAGAGAGAGAGAGAGAGAGAGAGAGAGAGAGAGAGAGAGAGAGAGAGAGAGAGAGAGAGAGAGAGAGAGAGAGAGAGATAAGAGGTAACTTTGAAATGTAAAAGAACAAAGGTAAAGAACGAGTGAGTGTAAAAGAAAATGTAAAAAAAAAAAAGAAGTCAAGGAATTTTACCCATCTGCAAAGCAAGAAAAGAAAAGGACATGTTGAGAAGATAAAGTCAGAGATTAGACTTATAAGCTTGCAGGTTGTCTTCAAAGAGAAAAAAAGAAAATATGAGAGAAGAAAAGAACATTCTCTTGTATATAATTATTTTCCAATTAAACAAATGTTTAATTTCTTTTTTATGGTACTATATACTAGATTTTGTGCATCTTGATTCAAGCAATTAGCAAAGAGGTCTTTGTTTTTTTTTTTTTTTTTTTTTTTTTTTTTTTTTTTTTTTTCCAGGCTCTCATTGATCAGTAGTAGTACCCCATCCGGCCTTTGCGTTGAAGGGCGTGTTAAATGTTTCTTATACATCTTTTGGATTTTATTTACAGATTATTATCATGTATTACATATCTATATATGTGTACCTATATACATGTATATATAGACTATAGCGCACATGAAGCTATATATGAGCATTTAATAACTAGAGGGTGAAGGTTGAGCTAACAATATGATTTGACATTGACTGGTTTTACATGGGAGTCCATTTGTGTTTAATTACTCAGCACATCATTTATAAATAAACAGCAAAGTTTGCGCATTTGGATTAAAAAGTGTAGCAAATAAATAAATAAACGGACATAATATTTAGCAAAAAATATGCAGATATACATACCTATATATAAGAGCTGTCGGCAGTTTTGCATTATAAATTGCGCATTAAACACTTGATTAATATGCTCGTACAAAAATAGTTAAGTCATTAACATTGATTTCAATAAAGTTAAATTAGAAAAGAATTATAAAAGAAAAAAGGACACACCAAATGGCATCTACGTGTTATAAAATTTAATTTCTCACCCAACAATTCAGGCACGCAAAACGTTAATTTTCAAGCTATTCTAGGTATATATGACTAGAACTTAAGACTGAAGTAAATATGCAATAAAACGGCCATGATCATTTACACCAGAACACACGACTAATAAACTTAACCCCACAAACGCTGTCTGAATTTCAAGTCATGTTGTGTGTGAATGATTGAAATTACCACTCTGATTAAAGCATACATGCAAATATTTACTCAACTTTTCACTTAGTGGACTGGTGTGTAGAGACTTTGTGAATTCTGTAGACTCCCCAAAAAGAACCAATAGAAGTTTCAAGCAATTTAACCATGTCACGACACGTGGAACCTATAGTAAGCACATAAATACACATATATACATGCATACACACATACACAATATTACACATACATTCATTGGAAACAAAATGCATATTTATTACTTTTGCAAATTAACACTAGTGTGACACGTGGTAGTTCAACTATGAGGTTGAAAACGATAGCCAACTGCAAAAAGCTAGTGGTCAAAAAACAAGTTCCGGTGATGAAGCCGGCAGGGATAGCGACGGCCAAAAAGAAATTTATGCGTTTAATTGAAAGAGAGTTTTGTTTAACATAATATTATATGATCATGTGCAAGTTTTAGTCACGAGTACTATTACAAATTAGATAGCAAGCATCTTTTCCCATGTACTAGATCCTTCTCCTAACTCCACGTACGGCATATATATATATATGTATGTATATATATATATATATATAAATTCATGATGTCTTCAATAATTAATGTAATGTGGTTGTGTGTAAGAGGGAGATATTGAAAGAGAGAGAAAATTAAATGTTTAATGAGGAAGAGTTGTATAATTAGTAGGCAGTGAAGATATATATAAATTAGGTGAAAACTAAAAAAAAAAATAGTTGGGAATAGGACAAGACAACCTTAAATAATTTGCTTGCTCATGATTCATATTAGAATTCAAGATCATCAAGTTATTGGACAAAATCCAGTCTATATATGTATAGATATATATATTTGTGTGTGTATGTATGTTTGTGTAAATATTATAATGTCTGAAATATGATTGTTGAGAAAGAAATGAGTTGAAATATTAGACCATATGCATAGACTCTAGTACAGCCTTGAACAAATGAAAGTTGGAAAACTAAAAAGATCTTAACTAGATGGTATAGTTGACTTCAAACTCATTTGAATTAATCTGTAGTTAATATATATATATATATATCCTAGAAATAACCAACATATATTTTAGTTTTGCGCAACCCATAATAACAAGTAGTCGTTTTAGATGAGGAGCAAAAGAACTAGTACTCCTTCTTGGGGAGCTATATATTGACCATTCGCCATTTTGAAAAAGTGCACCCTATTTACTTATAAACTAATCTTGCGTTCATAATTGTTGTACTTCATCAATTTGGTGTTTGGTGAAAAACAGAAATGAAAAGGGAAATACTTGATAAATATAGTTTGGTATAGTTCATTTAATAAAGAACGTACACACCACCCTGGAAAAACTTGCATTGTGTTGTGTATACCTATATATATAATATTTTAAATACAAAAATAAGGGAAATTGCAGTATATAGGCCAACATTTAAAACTTGTAGAAGTAAATAACTTATTTATTGAGTGTTAAAAATAAATAGGCCATTTACAGTTTTAAACCTTTTATCTTCCAATTTTACCCTTTTTATAGGATTTGTTGTTTTTTTTTTCTTTTCTTTCTGGAGCCTTCGACTTCTCTCTATTTTCTTCTCTCGTCACCAAACGGCTCCCTCTCCTTCTCTCTCTTTCTCTTCTGATATCCCAAAAAAGAAAATCAACAAACACAGTTTTACATTTTTTTTTTTTTTCAGAAATTCCACACAGATAATCAATATATTCATAACAAACAAACAAACCCAAAATAAACTCAAATGATCAAAACTAAAATAATGACTTGCGAAGATGATATCTCTTGCTACGACCGTCTCTATAGCAAAATCAGATCTCGAAGTTAGTTGAGATCGCGATCAACATCAAGACTAGAAAGAGATCCATGTGGCCCAACGGATTATTTCTCTGTCGCGGTTGCTTCGTCACGAAGCCGAGGAGATGAGTGGATCTCTCTTGCAGTTGCTCCGTCGAGCTGAGAAGATCAATGGCGTTCGCGTCAATGGCACTCAGGTGGAAAGGGCGGAGAGATTGAGCAGTCTCGAGGAGAGAGAAATACCACGAAGGGAGAAGAGAGAGAGAAATACCATGAGGGGAGAAGAGAGGGAGAGAATTTTTGGTTTTTTTCTAGTTTTATTTTTATTTTTTATAGAGGGGCAAGTCTGACATTTTAATAAGGTGTAAATCTTGAATTACACTAAATTAACCTATTTTCTAACTAATCGTAATCTTAAGCCTATTAATTTTTATTACTCCCTTAGGTCTCCTTCTCCCTACAAATAAATGAGTATTGGGTTTTGTACTGTCTTTCTAATTGGTTTTGTCCCTCTGAGAGAGAAGATCTCTGCGAGATTATATATTGCACCAAACACAATTTGAGAGAGCGAAATCTTCTCTTAGGTCTCAGCTATATCCATCAATATTCTTTAGTTAATGTATACACGAAGATAAGCATTCTAAATACCCCTAAATAAATTAAAAGAAATATATTCTTAGTGTTGCATTTAGTCATGGACTAAGAAATGAAAAGTGACTAGTGACTATATATAATTATGAAGGAAAATATCCATGTTTTTATTTTTCTAATCATCAAATAAATTATACGGGTTTCCTTACTTCCTATGAAGTTAGCTTATAATACACACACACACACACATATATATAATAATAATACATGTTATATTATATTAATATTATATCATATTAATGAAGAGTCTCAATTTCCTTTGACCAGTCGTCTATATATATATATGGTGATAAATTATTGTCTCCAAGAGTGCACGAGTGTGTGTGGTTGGAAAGCGAGATCGAGATTTTTTGAGTTCCCATACGTGCCCCATAAGTATTTGTTTTGAAGTTTCCAAACAACTATGCCTCCCTAAATTAGAACTCCTATAAAGACCAGATTAAATATTTACTACTTTTTGTTTGTTTCCCAAATCTATTGTTTTTTTTTTCTTTTTTTTTTTGGTATCCTATTCTAAATACCATATGGAAGGGAAAGAAAAAAATTAAATAAAAACGAAAAAGAAAAACACAATAGTGTCTTCTTTAATGTAGAAGCTTCCTGTATCCCCTTCATGCATGTGGTTGCACCCAAAGTTCTAGAGATTACCCTTATATCTAAAGAATTATATGAATATATTATATGGCCCAGATTTTCCATCAAACAATTATAAATGAGATCATTTATATGGGAATTTCAATTGTATAATAGTCACAACCACTAAGACTGATTTCATGTATATATATATATATATATATGTGTGTGTGTTCTTACAAAATAATTAATTTTGTTGATCAGTTGTAGATCTTTTAAAGTTCTTTTAGAAGTATTGAGATATACATGATTAGCAAAGGAATTAGACGCTCATCTACAATTAATAGAATATAATCTAAAGTTAGTCAAAGTGTGAGAAGAGAAATAATAGGACGAAAATGTAATGGTTCTCCACTTCTCCTCTCTGGCCAATTCTTTTGTGGCCTTCCGTAAAGAGACATGTTTTGATTTGCGTGACTTATTATAGTACTATTGTCAGTTTGTAAATCTTGTTTTATTCTAAACTATAAAGCAAATTACATAGACACGGCCATGCACACAAATTGTACCACATCTTTGGCAACATCTGCTTCTTCTTCTTCTTCTTCTTCTTTTTTCTTCTTCTTAATTCATCAAACATCTAATTTGGGAACTTGATAAACTAACTTTTCTTCTCAGTTAAGTTTTTATTTTTCCTCCTAAGAGAGAAATTAAGAAGACGAGTTATAAA